CAGCGAGGGGAGAGTGGGTTGGAAGCCAGTAGAGGGGTTGGCTTAGGGAGCGGGGTAGGGGTGGACCGTGGGGTATGGGCGGGGAGAGGGACAGGGATGGAAAGTGCAGAGGAAATTATAAGGGTGTTAGAGGAAGGGAGAGTGGGGGCTAGGGAAGGGAGATGGGGAGGAGAGGAAATGCTAAGGGCTGACAGGCGATGGGAGGGTTTGAGAAGTAACTGGGGGGAAGCTGGGCTGCTGTGGCGGAGGGGAGGGAGAGGAGGGAGAGGAAGGGGAGGAGAAGAGGCGGAGGAGGAGGGGGAGGAGGAGGAGGAGGAGGCGGTAGCAGGGTTTAGCCAGGAGGAGCGTTGTGTGTGGATGGGTAGGGAGAGATCAGGTGCGGTAGGTGGCGTTGGGCGGGTTGGAGTGTGTGGATTAGAGGAGGGGGGAAGGAGGAGGAGGAGGAGGAGGAGGGGGAGAGGGAGGGGAAGGAGGGGGAGGGGGAGGAGGCGAGAGGGGAGAAGCACAGGCAGCTGGAGAGAGAGGGAGTGGGTTCCCTCGGGCCCAGTCTCCCATACCAAAGCAGTTTTCGCTCTGGAAATCCACAGGAAAAACCGAGCCAAGCCAGGCGCAGGCTCGGCAGGAGGTCCAGGTCTAGGCCTGGAACTTGGTCTGGGAGTCGAATTGGACTCAGGTGCAGCAGCAGAGTATCAGCCTGAAAGGAGAAACCTCCGGGAAGCTTCCACTCTGGATTTCCCTGCTGGTGCTACAGCTGCTACAGCCGCCAGGGGTGGGCTTGCGTCTGTGTCTGCTGCTGTGGCTGCCCGTGTGTCCTCTCCCACGTCTACTGTTGCTGCTGGGGTGTCTGTCTCCTCTCCTGCATCCTCCCTTGCCTCTCAGCTGCCTTTCTTGGGTAGAGGGTCGTCTCTGCATGGGATTGAGTGGGGGAGAGAGGTGAGGGATGGGAGGGACTGGAGAGGTGGGAGAGGAGGGCGGGAGGAGAGGGACGGGAGGGAAGTGCGAGGGGAGAGAGAAGAGAGGGAAGAGAGGGAAGAGGGGGAGGAGATGGAAGGGGAAGAGGAGTGGGTAGTGATGGATCAGAGGGAAGGGGAGGAAGGAGATGAGGGGAGGGTAGGAAGGGGCGCGAGCAACAGCAGCAGCCACGCCAAAAGCAGGAGAGGGGACGTGCAGAGGGATTTGAGATGCTCAGCTTGCAGCAAAGTGAATATCCACAGGTGCAGCAGCAACAGCAGCAGCAGCAACAGCAGCAGCAGCGGACACATCAAGTGGGACTGGTAGGAGCTGAAGCAGGGTCAACAGGGGCACAAGCAGCCATTGCAACGCCAGCACACCTTGAAGCACCAATCGTGCCTGCCTCCCTGCCTCCATTCCCCCAAACCTTCCCTCGAGGCTTGGGCCGAACCGATCAAAGGTTCGGTACCGAGCCTCGGCCTCTGGTTAGCACAGCAACAGGACGGGATGTCTCTCCGCAGCTACTCAGGATCGAAACCAAGGGAAGCCAGCTGTACTCGGGTGCTTTTAAAGGGGGTGCTTCTAAAGGAGGTGCTTATAACGGGGATGCTTTCAAAGGAGCTTCTTGTAAGGGGGATGCATTCAAAGGAGGTGGCTTCAAGGGAGTGAGTTCGACCCCTGGTGGGCAGTGGTTCGCACGGTTGATCAAGCCTAAGGCTTCAGTGGGAGGGAATAGGATTGTAGGAAAGGGAGGAGCATACAGACCAGGAGCAGAAACCCCAAAATCTCCTGGGATTTCTCTGTGTCAGCCCCTCAGTGCTGAGAGGATAAACAGAGCTGAGGGGGCGGGCAGGGCGGACAGACAGGGAGCAGAAGCTCCAGAGCCCCGTGCTGTATGTCCCAGTCCCCTCTCCCTCCTTCAGTATCAGAGGCTCTCACCCTCGGCAGCAAGGGCTGTAGCAGGAGGACCGGCTGTGGCAGTACCTATGCCAGAAGCAGCAGTGGGGGTGGCCGTGGAAGGGGGAGCAGCAGCAGCTGCTGTGTCGGGAGCAGCAGCGGGAGTCGGCGTTTCAGGAGCGGCTATGCTGGGACCGGCTGGAAACCCTAATTTGAGGCCTGCTGCTGTGCTGGGAGCAGCTGGAAATGGAAGCCCTAACCCTAATGTGAGGCCAATGGCAAACCCTAATGTGTCCTTGCGGCCTTGGTCAATCCCGAACCCTAATTTGGGCCCATTGCAAAACCCTAATCCGACTGCTGGGCCTGATTTGAGCAGGCAGGCAGTTAGTGCGGGTGTTGGTGCAAGTGCAGTGATGGGTGGTGGCAGTGCTGGTGGTGCTGCTGCTGCTGTCGCCGCCGCTGCTGCTGCTGTTTCTGCTACTTTTGCTCTTTCTGCTGTGGGTGATGGTGCTACCAGGGGATTTGCTGGGATGAAACCGAACCCAGTGTTATCCATACCTGATGCAGCAGGTTCGGCAATTCACGCACCTGCAGGCTCGGACTCCCTTGCTGCTGCAAGTAGGTGTGTGGGAGGGCCTGTGGTTGCAGGTAAGGGAGGAAGGAAGGTGCGTGGAAGGTGGCAAGGGGGGAAGGGAGGGGAGGTCGCGAGGGAGGGGGAGGAGGAGGGGGAAGGGGGGGATGACAGAGATGAGGAAAGAGGGGACGCACAAGGTGGGTATGCTCCACTAGCAGTAGTAAGGGGTGAGAGAAAAGAGGAGGGGGAGGGCGAAAGAGGGGAGGAGGCACAAGGGCGGTACACTTCATTAGCAGAGAGGGATGAGAGGAAGGGAGACGTGGCAGGAGCACAAAGAGAGACGCAGGTAGAACAGCTAATCAGGGCAAGGGAAGGGCAGGCAGATGACGCAGCAGCAGGAGCGCATGGTTGTGTAGCGGTGACTGGAATGACCCAAGGGGATATGTGTGGGAGAGGGGGGTATTGTTTTAAGTCGACTCAGAACACGAGAGGGGGGTACGTGGCAGGAGGGCAGGGTTGTGAAGCGGGAACTGGAGTAATCCAAGGGGATACGTGGGGGAGAGGGGGGTATTGTTTTGAGTCGACTCAAAACATGAGAGGGGGGTCCGTGGCAGGAGCGTGGGAGGGAAGGCAAGGGGTTAGGCAGGAGGAGAGAAAGGAGGGGAGGCAGGATGGAATGGTGGATGGGATGGGGGCTTGCATAGGGAGAACGGGATATTTGAGGTATGGAGGGGAGGAGAAAGGGCAGGAGGAAGTGCAGGAGAAAAGGCAGGAGAAAGGGCAGGAGAAAGGGCAGGAGGGATGGCAGGAGGGGAGGCAGGGTGAGGGGCAAGATTTTCTTGCTAGAAGGGGTTATTTGAGGTATGGAGTGGATGGTGCTGTAGCGATGGGAACGGAAGGGAGATGTCCAAAAGAGTTGGGAGGGGGAGAAGGTATGGGTGGGAGAGGTAGAGTGGGGGAGTTGTTAGCAAATGTGCAGATGGGGCAGGAACGGGTGGAGCGTGATGTGAGGGAAAGAGAGGGCGAGAGAGCGGATGGGAGAGAGAGAAGAGAGCGAGAGGCAGGGTTAGAGCATGGCAGGGGTAAGCAGGGGCGGGAGAGGCGAGAAGGACCGAATGGGTGTGATGAGAGGGTCGTGGGAGGAATTTCTCGTGATGAGAAGGCGGAGGGGAGAGGGAAGAGAGCGAGAGAGGGGACTGAGTTGAACGAGGGTGTTGTTCCACGGCATGAGAAGGAGGAGGGGAAGAGAGCAAGAGAAGAGACTGGGTGTGAGGACGGTGATGCTGTGATGAGGGGCGTGGCTCCAAGGCATGAGAAGGAGGAGGGGAGGGGGAAGCGTAGGGGCCACCGAGGGGAGAGAGATGGTGAGAGGCAGGAAAAGGACAGAGAGAGGAGGATAAGGGAGAAGGAGCGGGCGGCGGTAGGAGGGTTGCTGCCAGACGAGCAATCTGCCAAGCTGGCGGCGCTGCGCAGGTGGCGGCAAGACGCTGCCAGGTGGCGCGAGGAGATTGGCTGGCAGGAGCGGAGCCTGGGGCTTGTTGGGAAGGTTGTGGGTGTGGGGCGATTGAGTGGGGTGCGAGAGAGTGGCGAGGGTAGAGAGGGGATAGAGGACAGAGAGAAAGGAGAGGATAAGGTGGGACGAGAGGGAGGAGAGGGTAGAGAGAGTGGACAATGTAGAGAGGGTGTAGTGGGAGGAGAGGGAGGAGAGGGAGAGGGGAACGATGAGAGGAGGAAAGGAGAGGAGGAAAGAGGAGGAGCAGGAGGAGGCATGATTGCTGGAGCAGGAAATGGACTGACTGCCGCCGATACTGGTGCGGCTGCCGCCGATACTGGTGCGGCTGCTGCCGATACTGGTGCGGTTGCTGCTACCGCTACTGCCACTGATGCGGTTACCGCTGCTACTGCGCTTCCCTCCACTGCACCCAGCCCCAAATGCATGCTGCTCCCCATCCTAGAAATCGGCTACCTTGCCCTGGGTCGTTCCGTGATTGGCTGGTGCCCCCGCTGTGATTTTTGTGGGCTGCCCGGCCACACCCTGTTGACTTGCGTTGAAACGCTTGACTCTGAAACCTCGGCTCTGATTGGCCGGCTGGCCGCCAAGGGGGAAGTGGACAGGCGGGTGGAGGGGCGGAAGAGGAAGAGGGAGGAAGAAAAGGGGAGGAAGGGGGGTGGGAAGAGAAGGAAAAAGGGAGGGGGGGATGGGGAGGAAGCGCGAGGGAAGAGGGGGGAAGAGGAGAGTGGGGAGAGGAGAGGCAGAGGGGCGAGTGGAGGAGATGGGGAAAGAGTTGGTCTGGTTGGTGTAAAGGAAGGGGCAGGGGACACAGGCGGAGGGATAACAGCAATAGGTGGTATAGAATCCTTAGGAGGGGCTATAGGGGGAATGGACGGCACAGGTGGGGCTGGGGAGGGGTTGGGTGGAACAGAGGAGTTGGGAGTGGTTGCAAGTCTGGCTGGGATTGGTTCCTATCTTCCCTACGGAACCCCTCGCCCTTCTTCTGTTCCTCCTGCACTCGCAAAGGCGCTGGGCTTAAAACGAGGACTGGGTGTACTGAATAGTAACAGCGAAAGCGCCGGGCGCATGTCGAGCTGCGGGGGGAACAGTAATGCGCTTATGGGAGCGCTTTTTAGTGGAGCAAGTGCGGCTGGGGGAGGTGCGGCTGGGGGAGGTGCGGCTGGGGGAGGTGCGGCTGGGGCAGGTGCGGCTGGGGCAGGTACGGCTCAGGGAGGTGCCACTGAGCTGGGGAACAGTAATGCGCTTATGGGGGCGTTTCTTAGTGGGCCAGGTGCGGCTGGGGTGGGTGGTGTTGAGCGACCAGAGGGAATGGCAGGAGGGGTGGGGGTCAGCATTTCAGCCCCACATGACTTGGCGGTTGGTGGAGCAGGGGTGGAAATAAGAAGGGGAGGAGGTGGAGGAGGAGTGGGGGTGAGATTTTTCGCCCCACATGACTTGGCGGTTGGTGGAGCAGGGGTGGAGATAGGAAGTGGAGGAGGAAGGGGGGTCGAATTTTTGGTGCCGCATGGCTTGGTGATTGGTGGAGCAGCGTTAGGGATGGGAAGAGGATGTGGGGGGAGAGAGGGAGAGGTGAGGGAGGAAAAGGCAATTGGAGGAGGAGAGGAAGACGGGCATATGAGGCAGAGCGGTGGAGAAGACGTGGTTGTGGTACAGAGGGGTGGAGAGGAAGGGCGTGCGGCACAGAGGGGTGGGGAGGGGTGTGAAGTGCTTACTGGTAGGAGCATACTCAACATTAATACTGCTGCTGCTACTGCTGGTGCTGATGCTGAAGATGATGGTGGTGATGCATGCGCAAAGGATGGGGGGAAAGATTGGGAGCAGAGGAGGGTGTGGCTGATGAGTGTGGGGTGAAGGATGGGGAGGGAGGGCAGGAAGGAGAGAGACGCAGCATGAGGGACGTGGGGGATAGGCAGGGAAGCAAGGAGGGTTGCGGTGAGCAGGAAGTGGGGGGTGAGAAAGAGGTGGGAGAGAAGGAGGGGGGGTTCGTGCGTGTGGGTGGGCGTATGGAGGAGGATGAAGGCGAAGTGGGAGAGAAGGGTGGGGATGGGCGTATGGAGGAGGGGAGAGGAGAGGAGGGAGTGATGGGTGGGGATGAGCGTATGGAGGAGAGAGGGGAAAAACGAGAGGAGGGATGGGAAGAGGGCAGGAATGTTAACAGGAAGGCAGGGGAGCGTAGTGGGGAGGAAAGAGAGGGAGCAGGGGGAGCAGAGGGAGAAGAAGGGGGAGATGGGGGAGAAAGAGTGGAGGGTTCAAATGGGGACGAAGGAGCAGAGGACGAGGATAAGGATATGGAGACAGAAGAAGACAAAGACGTGCCGAACCCCGTGTGCCTGTGGTGTCTGGCGGAAGGCCATTGGGCGGCGGAGTGTGCTGACCTGGCAAGAACCCGCGCGAAGCATGCGACCAGTAGCAGGGAGACAGCTGGCAGGGAGACGTCAGGTACGGGCCGGGCCACCACGGGCACGGGCAGGGAGACCACAGGTACAGGAAGAGACACGACTGGCACGGGAGCTGGCACTGGGGCTGGTACGGGAGTTGGTACGGGAATTGGTACGGGAGTTGGTACGGGAATTGGTACGGGAGTTGGTACGGGAATTGGTACGGGAATTGGTGGAACTTCATTAACTGGGCCTGGGACGGGAAGAGAGGTATCGAACACGGTGACTCTAAGAGGATTGGTGTTATCAGGTAGAGAAACACTTGGCACTGGGGGGAAGCAGTTGCATTGGGCAGAGAAACACCAGGTGAATTCCCAGGTGTCCAAGCCGTGGAAGGTATTTTTTCAGCAGCAGGGGATGGCGCTCGGTATGTTGGCAGTCTAGGCCCTTGGTGTGTTGATCCTCCCAATCCTCAGTGCTTAAATTCTCTGAGCCTGCTTGACTCTTACGCAGCAGCAGAGGCAGGAGCAGCAACAGCAGAGACAGCGGAGGGAGCAGGGGTAGAAGCAGCAGGGAGAGGAGTAGCAACGGCAGAGGTATCAGCATCAGGGGCAGCGGCTGGGGAAGGTGCGGTAATGGGAAGAGGCATGAGAAAGGTAGAAAATTGCTATGGTGCAACTGGGGCAGTAGCGGAAGCAGGAGCAACGACTACAATAGGGGCTTCCTTAGAGATACCATTTGCACCGTACAGAACCGCTGGTGCGCCAGCAGAAGCAGGAGCAGGTGCAGTAGGGGCAGATGCAGGAGTAGCAGTAGGGACAGCAAGAGACTTCGCACCAGGAATTGCAGCCAGTGAGGTACCAGCTTTTGGAGTGCATTTAGACACGGGTGCAGTAGCAGACTCAGGAGCAGCAGTAGGTACAGCAAGAGTAGGGAAGGATGCAGGTGCAACAGTAGGAACAGCAAGTGAGGCAGCACCAGGAGATGCAGCGGGTGTGTCAGCAGCTGTTATGCACTGCAAACCGGCAAGCACAGGTGCTGCAGCAGCAGACCTGCAAATGCGAGAGGCAGGCAGAAGCACCGATGTGCCTGAGAAGAGGGAGGGAGAGGCCCTGGGCGCATGGAGCGTTTCTGCTCTTTTCCCAGGCTGGCCTGCTCTTTTTGACCCGCAGAGAACGGAACAGGAAGGTGGCGGGTTGCCCCCTGCCTTGCTCGCTTCTATAGAATCGCTGCGCCTCTCCCGAAGGGATATTGTCAAGTGAGTTCCCTCCTGCCCCTTCCCTTCTGCCTCCAACTTCCCCTCCCCTACAACCCTGTTCACACCACACCACACCACACCACATCATGCTGCCCGCACCAACTCAATTGTTCATCCAAGTGGTTCTGTGGTCGGTCTATCTGCCCTCCACTGTGCTGGCAGGATTCAAAGCCATCCACGTGTCAGGGCACGAGTGGTTGGCTTCTTCCTCCGCCTCCGATTGGGCAAGAAAGAGGAGGATTTGGGCGGCACGGGTTACCGCATGGCCAAAATAACGGGTTTGTAACAAATGCCCTTGCATTTGTTAACACTCAGGTTCTTCCTCTTTGTTGCCTCTCCGTCATATCTCACTGAATCAAGCCTAGTTAATTAGTTGCATTCCTTAATACGCTCCCGCACTCATCAATCCCCGTGTGCTGCTTCCAGGTGTCGTTCGAAAGCAAGCTGTTGAATCGGTACCTTCATCTGCTGATTCAGGCGGAATGGCGCTCACTGTAGATATGGGTGACGGGGAATACACTGTAGACGGCCATTACGTCTCCAACAAACCATTTCTTGAGGTTAGTAAAATGGCGTAATTTGCATGGTCTTGTTTTGAGTCTTTGGTCTGCTTGGTTGATTGTCGTTCTCGTTTGTTTTCTTTCTTGCACATGAAATGTGAGTGGTCCCTTCTCTTTTCGCCTTCAATCTGTGTTTCAGGTTGAGGTTGTTGAGTGGTGTAAAAAGATATGGCAGAAAGGTGGGTTCGAATTGCTTGCTCCCATTCTCTGCGCTAAGGATATCGAGGCCAATATATGCGAGAGGAGAAGTTGGAGCTAAGAGGGACGATAACTTGGAGCTTGAAGTTCGCTCTTCTGCATGACATTCCAAGTGTTTTCGTCTCATGACCTTCTACCTTAATTAATTAATAACGAGTTTGTTTTGTATAAAGCATTAAGATCCTCGTCGACTACACCAACGCCCTCAGAATGAGGAATTTCGCTAGAACTGCAAGAGTTGCACGTGTACCTTCCCAAACCTTCCCCAACCAACCTCGAAGCAATAAATGGCTGGCTCGGCAATCTCGAGGGGCCAATATGGCTAATTCGGCTCGGCAATTTCACCATGATTGGAGAAAGGTTGGCTCGGCATTCCCTGGGACCGAAATTCTTGGAACCTGATTTCTTGCTCTTCTGCTCAAGCAGTAAGTGCTGCTCCAGCCTTGGTTGGGAAGTTGAGATGATCGGCAACATCAGCAGCAGCACAGATTTGACTTCCAGGTTCCAGCCTCCAACTTCACGACTCACCACACCACACCACTGGAAGGTAGGTTTCATTCATCCACATTCACACCACACTTGAACACAATCTGCGTTGCTGGTGGGGTGCTGGTGGTAGCGCTGGTGTTGCTGGTGTCGCTGGTGCTTGTGGTTCAGCTGGTGGTGTTGCCGCTTGTGTAGCTGCAGCGATCCGGGTCCTTTCCTAATCCCTCCAGCATTCCCTAATGCAGTCGTGGTAAAGTCAGTATTCTTAGAGTTCAGGATTGAAGGCCAGCCAACGACATTTTCCAATTCCAGAGTCGTCGCAGCTAATTCGCTGCGATATAGCTCGCCATTTAGGCAGTTAAGACATTCGGCTCGGCAACTTCGAGACTCACTTGGACCCCTGGCTTTTTAGCTCTAGCGGACGCGTCTTGATCGGGTCCCACTTCTTTCGTATAAGGAGCGACAAATTGATTGGTACTCGAGGCATAAAAAGCTGTCAAAACTGGTCGTTTCGAAGCAGTTATGGCGTTCGTTTCCAAGCTTCGCGTACGACGCGATAAGAATGGCTTCCGGTAGCGCTTTCTTCTTGAGAATGCGGAAGATCGCAGCGCAGATCACAAGCTGATCTCCTGGGGAAATTACCCTGAATTTTGAGTAGATTCAAATTTGGCCCCATTTATGTCAGCGGAAATGCATGTGTGAATTCAAAGAGCTTGAGCATTTCCTTGCAGCAGTTTATATCGAGCCTGTGATCTGAAGAGCTTGAACGTTGAGGAAACTGCCGCGAAAACCGCCGCGTATATAACAGCGTAAAAAGCTCCCGTCGTACTGTGAAGGTAATTTACCCTCAAAATGAGGCTGCATCCTAGTAAAGGCGGAGCCGCCTCCTTAAGAGTAGGCGCCACTCGCGCCGTCTTATCCTCTCGCGTCCCCGTCCCTAAGAATCTCCGGCCGAAACCCCCTCCGCTAGTCGCGCTCTTCACCTCACCAGCGTTCTTCCGTCTCCTCGTGGTCCTGTTAGCTCTATCCTTCATCACTTTGACTGGTCTGTCTTTTGTCGAAATCGAGGAGGACACAGTCGAGAAAGCGATCACGCGGCAGCTGATGAGCGCGGACGAAGACGATAAGGGCGGCAAGGGATCGAGCAACGATCTAGGCGTGCATCTCGCGAGAGACGAGGAGGAATTGCCGGAGCAGCTGAAGCAGCGGTCGCGGCAAGCCGACGGCGGAGAAGGCGGGGAATCGGGGGAAGCGGGGGGGGCGGGAGGAGGGGAGGGGGAGGAGGAGTCCGGCGGGGATTCCGGCGATCAAAGCGACTCGCTGCATGTGCACGTGCATCTGATCGCGTCGTGCGATGTGGAGTCGGTGGAAGAGAGTTTGGACATGCTGCAGAGTAAAGTGCTGTGGGACGAGCACTACGTGCCGCTCACCGTCCTGCTGGACTGCCAGTAAGTATAACAAACAGGAAACGGTACACTTTCTTTTCTGTCTTTTTCTTATATATGAATTTAGAAGTGTAGAAACAGGTGCAGAAGCGCCTTATGATGTGGAGTCGGTGGAAGAGAGTTTGGACATGCTGCAGAGTAAAGTGCTGTGGGACGAGCACTATGTTCCGCTCACTGTGCTGCTGGACTGCCAGTAAGTAAAGCATACAGTAAATGGTACATTTTCTGTATTGTTTTTTTCCATGAAATTAGAAGTATAGAAACAGGTGCAGTAGCGTCTTTATGGTGAGGAGTTGGTGGACGAGAGTTTGGACATGCTGCTGCAGAGCAGAAAGGTGCTGTGGAACGAGCATTACATGCCGCTCACTGTGCTGCTAGACTGCCAATAAGCGAGAGTTTGGACATGCTGCTGCAGAGCAGAAAGGTGCTGTGGAACGAGCATTACATGCCGCTCACTGTGCTGCTAGACTGCCAATAAGAGAGAGTTTGGACATGCTGCTGCAGAGCAGTAAGCTGCTGTGGTACGAGCACGTGTTTTGAGTCTACTCAAAACAATGCTGCAGAGCAGTAAGGTGCTGTGGGACGAGCACTGTGTCCCGCTCACCATTCGCTGGACTGCCAGTAAGAATATGAATACCCTTAGAAGTTTTCCAACTGTAGTGTTGTGGGATGTACAGTTTGGACATGCTGCAGCGCAGTAAGGTGCTGTGGGCGAGTGTTACCCTGGATTGCCAGTAAGTGAAACATACACTAGATTATAATTCTCTGACAATTTTCAATACAAAATTAAAATATCAGTACAGTAGCGTCTTATAATGTGGAGTCGGTGGAAGAGAGTCTGGACACGCCGCAGAGTAAAATGCTGTGGGACGAAAACTATGTCCCCCTGACTGTCCATCTGGACTGCCAGCAAGTGTAACATACACCAAATGGTAAGAATGAATCAGCTGTAATGCTCGCAACTCTTGAGAATTCTCAAAAGTAAACTCATCTTAGCTGGACTGTCAGCAAGTGTAACATACACCAAATGGTAAGAACGAGTCAGCTGTGATGCTCGCCACTCCCAGCGTGCAGTGGCGTGGCGCTTCGGGCCCTACACCGTGCGATCCAATGAGGTGACTTTGAGTCAACTCTAAAGTCACCTCCCTACACCGTGCGACCCAACGCCCCTTTCTCTGTCTCGCTCTAGCAGAACCGTTCATAATCATACTTTTCCCTTCTCCCCCCCTCTTCCCCATCCATCCCCACTCACAGCGATCCCAAATATGAATCAGCCATAATGCTCGCAACTCGCCGCGTGCAGTGGCGCTTTGGTCCCTACACCGTGCGATCCAATGCTCCCACCATCGAAACAGCCGCTGCCAGAACCGCTGCTGCTGCCGGGCTGAGGGGCGGGAAGGGCGCTGCTGCTGGTGGTAATGCTGGCAGTGCTGCTGGCGGTGGTGGTGACGGGGAGGAGAGTGACTGGGCTGTTGTGTTTCCTAGAGACAAAGTGAAAGCAGCTATCTTTCAGAGGAGGAGGCTGCTCGGGTGTAACGATACTGCACAAGGGGGAATTATCAAGTGTGACAGCGGGTTTGGGGAAAGGGAGCCTGCGGCTGGATGGTTCGGGTTTAACAAATTCGGGTATGGGTTTAACGAAACGGGGGACGGGGGAGAGGGGTTATGGGCGCCTGAGGAGGTTGCACAGGGCAGGGGAGATGCTCTTTTTGAGGTGTCTCAAAAATCGCCTGAGGAGGTTGCTCAGGGCAGGCGAGATACTCTTTTGGAAGGGGACGGGGGTTTGGGTTTGGGTTCGGGTGTGGATGCAGGTTTGGGCGTGGGAAGGCACTTGCTGGGTAAAGCAGCTGTTGTGGCAAAGAAAGGGGCGGCGGTTCAGGGTAAAGGAGCTGCGGTGAAGGGCGGGCAGGGGCAGGGCAAGGGTAAGGTTGCAGCAGCAAAGGGCGGGGCAGTAGCCAAGGCTGGTTCAGCTGCAGGCGCTGCAGCTGGTTCTAAACCAGGAGGTAAAACCGAGAATGCTGCTGCTGCTGCTGCTGCTGCAGGCGCTAAAGGGGGAGCAGGAGGCAAGGCAGGCAGCAGCAGCAGTAAACCAGCTGTTGCTGGTGCCAAGCCGGCCAAAACAGCTGCTGCTGCTAAAACCACCGGCGCTACAGCTGTTCCCACTGCTGCTACAGCCGGCGCTGCACAGGGCGGCAGCAGCGAGGCGGCAGCACTAACCTTTCTGGACGCGTGGCGGCCGAAATCAGCCCTGGGAATCGCGTTTTACCTGCGGGACTCGGCGCGCGTGTCACCCTTCTTCTACCGCTTCCTGGTGGACTCTGTTGAGATGCTGGCGGGGGCCGCTCCTCCCAGTGATGATGGCAGCGACAGCGTCAGCGACCTCTACTCCTCCCCACCCTTCTCCACTCTCTTTGGGATCAGCATTCTGGACCCCGGCACAGCTCCAGGTGAGCCTTCAAATCAATCCCACCCACCCACACACCCACCCGCCTACTCACCCTTCTTCTATCGCTTCCTGGTGGACTCCGTTGAGATGCTGGCGGGGGCCGCTCCTCCCAGTGATGATGGCGGTGATAGTGTTCGCGAGCTGTACTCCTCCCCACCGTTCTCAACTCTCTTTGGGATCAATATACTGGACCCAGGCACAGCACAAGGTGAGCTTTTAATCCCCCCCACCCACACCCGTCCACACACACACACGCCCTGGGGATCGCGTTTTACCTGCGGGACTTGGCGCGCGTGTCACCCTTCTTCTATCGCTTCCTGGTGGACTCCGTTGAGATGCTGGCGGGGGCCGCTCCTCCCAGTGATGATGGCGGTGATAGTGTTGGCGAGCTGTACTCCTCCCCACCGTTCTCCACCCTGTTTGGGATCAATATACTGGACCCGGGCACAGCATCAGGTGAACAACATCTGTTGTGGCAGGCAAAGAACTGCACTGCACTCTCCTAATCCCATGTGCGCGCGCGCACACACACGCAAACAAACACGGACACACACACACACACACACACACACACACACACACACACACACTCACACACACACACACTCCAACACTCTCTGACCATAAACTGTCAATTCGTCTTCCCAACCTCCTCTGATCCTCTTTCCTCCCGCCTTCCCTCCCTCCCTCCCTCTCCCTCCCTCCCTCCCTCCCTCCCTCCCTCCCTCCCTCTCTCTCCCTCCCTCCCTCCCTCCCTCCCTCCCTCCCTCCCTCCCTCCCTCCCTCCCTCCTCCCTCCCTCCCTCCCTCCCTCCCTCCCTCCCTCCCTCCCTCCCTCCCTCTCTCTCCCTCCCTCCCTCCCTCCCTCCCTCCTCCCTCCCTCCCTCCCTCCCTCCCTCCCTCCCTCCCTCTCCCTCCCTCCCCCTCCCTCCCTCTCCCTCCCTCCCTCCCTCCCTCCCTCCCTCCCTCCCTCCCTCCCTCCCTCCCTCCCTCCCTCCCTCCCTCCCTCCCTCCCTCCCTCCCTCCCTCCCTTATCCTCCACCAGTGCCCCAGCAACCCCCTCCCGCGTGGCACCTGCACCAGTCTCTCACAGTCGACTGCCAGTTCGTCTTCCCAACCCCCTGGGAGGAAATTCTCCTATGGCGCCGCTCCTTCCCCAACACCTCCTTCACCCTCTCCTCCTCCGTTTCCCACCTCAAGGACGCCGCATTTGCCATCTCAGCTGTAGCAGCAAGCCGTGAAGGTTCGGTGAATCTTCAGGGGAAGTTTCAGGGGCGGAGGAGGGCGGATCTGGGGACGGATTATTTCACCAAGACGTGCCAGGCGGATCCGGTGCAGCAAATACACTCGTTACTCGATAGCCATGGGCGGTTTAATTTACTCGCGCCGGACATTAACGGGAGCAGCATGTGCGTGTCGCTAGCACCAATCAGGAAGCAGGAGGAGCGGGCGAAGGGGTTAGTAGCAGCCGCAGCTAAAGCGAAACGGAAACTGAACCCTAAAGAGGCTGCAGAGGTAGCAAAGGCGAAGAAAGCCAAGGAAGTGTTACTGTCTAGGCTTTTTGACGATCCTCAGTATGCGCTTGGGAAGGAGAGCCCCCGGGTGGTTAGAGCGCTGGAAAAAAGCGCTGTAAGTGCCGACGCTTTGCTAAGAACGCCGCGAACAGACATGTGCGGGCGGCCGGTGCGGCGGGGACTGTACGCTCAAGACGTGAAAGGGCTCAGAAAAATGCTGTCGGTGATTCAGACGAATAATACGGTCGTGGCTGTGATGACGAGCGTAGGGTTTGCCGATATGCTCACCAACTGGCTGTGTTACGTGCGAGAGTTAGGGTTTACGAATTTCTTTATCATTACCACGTCGGCAAAACAGGCCTTGGATTTGTTTGCCAAGGGACAAGCGGTGTTCCTCCTTCGGCCGTCGTTCATTCACCTCAACTCCTCCCTCCCCGGCACCCTCTCGTCCTCCTCCTCCTCTTCCTCTGCTGCTGCTGCTGCTGCTGCTGAAGCGGCTCATTTGAGAGCAGCAGCGTATTTGCAGAGTGCGGGAGGGGATGGGCAGCAGCAGCAGGGGTCGCAGGGGGAGCAGCGTGGGGGGAGGGTGGGACGCGTGTTGCTAGGGTTGCAGGGGACAAGGGCAGAAGAGGACGGTTTGATGATTGACTGGAGGGCGGGCAGGCATGGGAACAGGCTGCTGATGAGTGCTGGTGGCAGCGGTGGAGATGGGTTCGGAGGGGTTGGAGGGGGTGGGGAAGGGGGAGGAGGGGAGGGCGGGAGGAGGAAGGCCAAGTGGGGGTTCAGGCTGGTGGCGGCCGCTAAGGCGATGAAACGGGCGGCGAGGCGGGTGGCGACTGCGTCTGGTCTGAGACGCACCCCCAACATCACTGTGCCCTTCTCCATGGAATACGGGGGGATTGGGTATAAGCAGGTAAGGGATGAAAGTAGGTAGAGAGGAAACAGTCTGGGCCTGTATTGAGTGCCAGGCAGGATTGCGTCTGGTCTGAGACGCACCCCCAACATCACTGTGCCGTTTTCTATGGAATATGGCGGGATCGGGTACAAGCAGGTAAGCTGATGCAAAAAAGTAGGCTGAGCTGAAAGAATCAAGTGCGGTTGCGGGAAGATTGAGACACACCCCCAACATCACTGTGCCGTTTTCCATGGAATACAGGGGGATCGGGTACAGATTGATAGGAACAGGTGTGATTGTATTGAAGGTTGGGAGGGTCTGGTCTGAGACGCACCCTCAACATCACTGTTCCTTTTTCCATGGATTATGGCGGGATAGGTTACAAGCAGGTAGGTTGATAGGAACAGGTGTGATTGTACAGGGAGGAAGCAGGTAGGTTGATAGGAACAGGTGTGATTGTACAGGGAGGAAGCAGGTAGGTTGATAGGAGCAGGTGTGATTGTATTGAAGATTGTGGGGGGGTCGGCTCGTTTCTTAATATGGGGTACAACGTGCCGCTTGATTCCAACATCACAGGGCCGTTTTCCCCTCCATCTCTCCCCATCCCTTCCCCCCTTCTTTTCCCCCTTCCCGCCACCCTTCCCCTTCCCTCCCTCCTACCCCTTTCCCCAGTGGGCCACCTCTGCAGGTTCTGCTCAAGTGCGCGCGATTGCAGTCTATGTTTTTATGAGAATTCTCCAAAAACATACACTTCGCACGCGATTGGTCGGCTCGATTCTCAAGATGGGGGTGCAACGTGCTGCTTGCTGACAACATCACTTTATCTCCCCATCCCTCCCCATCCCTCCCCACCCCTCTGCAGCTGCTGCTTAAGCGCACGCGATTGGTGGGCTCGATTCTCAAGATGGGGTACAACGTGCTGCTTGCTGACGTGGACGCCGTCTGGCTCTCCGATCCGTTCGTCCACATGGGCAACAAATCCGTGGATATCTACGGGCAGGTAAGACTATGTTTGGGGGCAGGTGAGTTGATAGAGCAGGTTAGGTGATATTTACGGGCAGGTGAGGTGATATTTTCGGGCAGGTGAGATGATATAGAGTTGCTGCTCTTCCACTGTGAGTGACCACCTCCCTACCTATCCTATCCTCCCCCTCCTCCTTGCTCTCCCCTCCTCCTTGCTCTCCCCTCCTCCTTGCTCTCCCCTCTCCCCACCACCTCTCAGCTCGATCCCTCAGGTCAGCTGTGCGGTGCCTTCATCTTCCTGCGCTACACGCCCCATGTGGTAACCCTATGGTCCAACCAACCCTCCCTATCTACCCTCTCCCCCCTCTCTGCTCTCCCCCATTTTTGCTCTCCCCCCAACCCTCCACCTCGCAGCTCGAGCCTTCAGGTCAGCTGTGCGGGGCTCCCTCCTCCTGTGCTCCACGCCCCATGTGGTAACCCTATAGTCCAGCCAACCTGCCTTCCCCTATCTACTCTCTTCCCCCTCTTTCCTCTTCCCACTCCCATCCTCTTGCAGCTCGAGCCCTCTGGTCAGCTGTGTGCGGCCACGTGTGATGAGGTTGTTTTTGAGACGTCTCAAAAACACTCCTTTTTTCCACGTGTGATGAGGTTGTTTTTGAGACGTCTCAAAAACACTCCTTTTTTCCACGTGTGATGAGGTTGTTTTTGAGACGTCTCAAAAACACTCCTTTTTTCCACGTGTGATGAGGTTGTTTTTGAGACGTCTCAACAACAACCTCATCACACGTGGCCATCCTCTTGCAGCTCGAGCCCTCTGGTCAGCTGTGTGGGGGGTTCCTCTTTCTGCGCTCCACCTCTCATGTCCGCCTGCCCTCCCCACGAGGTGACTTTTGAGTCGACTCAAAAGTCACCTCTGCTCCACCTCTCATGTCAACCTGCCCTCCCTACCTTACCCCTTCCTGTATGCTCTCCCCTCGCCCCACCACCTCTCAGCTCGAGCCTTCAGGTCAGCTGTGTGGGGGATTCCTCTTCCTGCGCTCCACGCCACGTGTGGTAACCCTATGGGACCAGGTTACAGGGCTCTACACGCGCACGTTCAACCGCATGGCGAAGGAAGCACTGTACAAGAAGCCCGAGGAGATGGGGGCGTGGCTCAAGGTGCGTTGTAACCCTGTGGTAACCCTTTGTTCATCTTCCGAGCAATGATAACCCGTTGGTAAGCCTGTGGTAGCCCTACTTCTGAGGCGCCTCAAAAGCAATGATAACCCGTTGGTAAGCCTGTGGTAGCCCTACTTCTGAGGCGCCTCAAAAGCAGTGATAACCCGTTGGTAAGCCTGTGGTAGCCCTACTTCTGAGGCTCCTCAAAAGCAGTGATAACCCGTTGGTAAGCCTGTGGTAGCCCTACTTCTGAGGCGCCTCAAAAGCAGTGATAACCTGGTGGTAAGCCTGTGGTAGCCCTACTTCTGAGGCGCCTCAAAAGCAGTGATAACCCGTTGGTAAGCCTGTGGTAGCCCTACTTCTGAGGCGCCTCAAAAGCAGTGATAACCCGTTGGTAAGCCTGTGGTAGCCCTACTTCTGGGGCGCCTCAAAAGCAGAGATAACCTGGTGGTAAGCCTGTGGTAGCCCTCTGCTTACCCGATGGTAACTCCATACGCGCACGTTCAATCGCATGGCCAAGGAGGCACTGTACAAGAAACCCGAGGAGATGGGGGCATGGCTCAGGGTGAGATGCATTCCCTTCACACTGTAGTGGTAACATTGTGGTAATGGTAACCATACTTACCTGGTAACCGCATGACCAGAGAGGTACTCTACAAGAAGCCCAAGGAGATGGGCTTGTGGTGAAATGTAACCATGTGGTAACCATGTGGTAACCCTACAGACTGCGGCACCACTCATATTTTCGCAACCCACGATTTCCACCACACAATTTTGCCCAACCCACAATTACCGCACACCTTCTCTCAACCTACAAACACCACACACCTTTCCCCACTTGTATCAACCATTCCCCTCCTTTTCCCCGCATACCCCTCCCGCACTCAGCAATTCGAGCACCTGCAGCACCTGCACAAGCAGAGGTATCTGAACCAGCTGCTGGGGAAGCGGCGGAACAAGGTGCAGGTGCGGGGACTGGTTGTGCTCAAGTTCCCCAACGGCACCTAAACGATACATTCCCATCCCCCCCCACCCCCCACACTCTTCCCCTCACTCAGCAATTCGAGCATCTGCACGAGCAGTGGTATTTGAACCAACTCCTAGGAAAGCGGAGGAACAAGGTGCAGGTGCGAGGACTGGACGTGCTCAAGTTCCCCAACAGCCCCAACATGCTAATACATTCCCATCCCCCTCCCCCCACACTCTTCCCCTACCACAGCAATTCGAGCACCTGCACGAGCAGCGGTATCTAAATCAGCTCCTGGGGAAGCGGAGGAACAAGGTGCAGGTGCGAGGACTGGACGTGCTCAAGTTCCCCAACGGCAAGGAGTTTTTCGTGCAGCGTGCACCACAGCAAGCAGAGGTGGCGCCCGTTGTGATTCACAACAATTACATCAAGGGGAAAAAGGTATGTGTGACTGACTGTGACTGTGACTATGGCTGTAACTGTGATGGTGTGTGAATGTGATTGTTTTGTGTGCAACACTTGATTCAGCAAGCAGAGGTGGCGCCCGTGGTGATTCACAACAACTATATCAAGGGGGGAAAGGTATGTGTAACTGTGACTGTGGTGTGTGTGACTGTGGTATTGTGTGATTGTATCAGGTGAGCTGTTGCAACCAGCACTGTACTGGTGGTGATTAACAACTACATCAAGGGGAAGACGGTGCGTGCGGGTGGTGTGAGATTGTGTTCTAGGAGTGTGATCATTGTGGGTGGGCACCACAGCAAGCAGAGATGGCGCCCGTGGTGATTCGCAACAACTACATCGAGAAGAAGGTGTGTGTGACTGTGGGCCATGTGAGTGTGACTGTTGTGATGGTACCGTGGTCTGGTGGAGTGGGATGTGCCAGCTGTGTTGTCTGTCGCTGTATTGTGAGTGGTGTGACAGGCTGTGGCTGTGGGCTGTGGGACATGTGACTGTCGTGATGGTACCATGGTCTAGTGGAGTGGGGTGTGCCAGCTGTGTTGCCTGTCGCTGTATCGTGTCCGGTGAGTAAGGATTGATAGTGCGTTTATAATTGCCGGTTTGGATGTTTGGATGACTCTTGGCAAACATGCAGACTTTGGCTGCTCCTCTACCTGCAGATTCAGTGCTTCGCTATTGACCCGCAGTAAAATCTTGTTGTGCTTCTTATTATTCCATGGTAAACTGCAGGCTAAAATCCAACGGTTTAAAGAATTTGGCTTATGGCGAGCTGATCCCAGTGGGACCTCTTGCATTTGCCTGTCATGCCCATCGCAAGCTACCACCACACAAAAAGGAGCCCTGGGTCGACACTAAATAGTGTGGGATCCTTGTGATGATATTTTACCAGAGGTCGATATTAAATAGATTTTGCTTACTATTTCGGTTGGAAAGTAGTCTTTGTTGTAATGGCATCTCATATTATTGTTCACAGGAATTGTTGCATTATCAAATGTGAGGCAGATAGGGTTGCCTTTTTTTCTCGTTGGGCTGGTAGCTGCCGTGGCACATGGTCCGCGCCAATGGAATTGGCTCGGCCCGGGTCGCGTGTGCATTGTGACTGCTGTGTCAGCAAGCAAGCAGCCAATCAGCTCGTATGATGCTGACTTTGTGACGTCACCCTTGCTTCGGGCAGCGAACAGCCAATCAGTTCATTTTACTCTGTCGCCCATCGCTGCTGCTGACCACATATCACCCTCTCAGCGCGTGCCAGATTCCTCATCCATTCACGGCATCTCCCGCCTCCTCGATTTCAGACTGTCGCCGCCAGCTCCTCGGAGAGGCGAACAAGGTAGAAAAACAGCAGTCGCGCAGTGCTCGTCGGCGCTGTAAAATGTCGCCCACCGATATGCAGGCAGGCAGGAAAAAGCGTCGCACGAGGATTTGTAGGATTTGTTTGGGAGAAGATCATATTGGGGCCGAACAGTGCCAGAGGGATGACCAAGTAGGGCCGGTTGATCCGACCGTAACATTTTTACCCGGAGCTGCCCAATTGACTTGAGTAAAAGAGAATCACTACAAGAACCGAATTTTGTGTTCAACTTGTAATGAAGAGATTTGCTCTCTGTCTATTACAGCGCGCGCGTCGCATTCTTCTGGAAGTCTATTTTGGCGTGCTAAATTGTGAGCACAAAACAAATTATTGCACTCTGGGCGATAGATATCACCCACCTGAACGAAACATCCTGAAGTGGCCCAATGATGGGATTTCCGAAGGATGAGGTTCCGGGTTCAAACCCCAGTGCCAGCGAGTTCCGCCAGCCCCCCAGAAGGGGGTTTTGCACTGCTCATCTGGGAGTGGATATATCCTTACATTGATACACAGCGAGGCGTGTAAATAAGTGGGTAGGCGGATTACGATCGACAGCCGGGGGTAACCCAAAGGGGACCATTTCCCCCTCTTTTACCTTCCTTTACCCACCTGAACGAAACGTGCAGTAAAAAAAAAACCCATTCGGAAACGGATGCGACTCGGGAAACATCAACCTACACTCCAGGAAGGTTCCCGTTTTTAGCGTCAATCCGTCCCAAACATACGTCCAGGTTTTCTATGGGCGTTTTTTGGCTGCCCTGAAAGTTCCCCATAAATTTGGCTCGCTAAATGACACGTGAGCAAAAATGAGACAGGTACAAGCAGCTAGTAACAGAAATACGTGCAATAAACGATGACCCTTTGTTTATCCCTCCTCTCGGCCCCTGGTGGATTACCCCTCTGGCACTGTTCGGCCTCTGTATGATCATTTCCCGATTTGTTTGCGTAGGATAGGAAAGTCGCCTGGGTCGGTCGCACCTTGCTGCTTTCTCGTAATTTGTCGTCAATCGTTCCAAAACTGCTGCGCACCTGAAACCTCTTTTCAAAACCAGCTTTTTGTGAGCGTGTTCTCGGGCAGGCAACTTGGGAAAGTGTCAACTCGACATATCTACACCCGATTAATACACCAATATATTCGCAGCTTTATTATCAAAATCCAACACCACCACCACTAACTCCCAGTTCCACCTCCTTCCTACAAGCTTTGTCAGTTTCGGTTCCACGTTCCCAACTTCTCCCAGCGCACCCCACCTGGTGCATTGTATGGCGGGCTGGCCCGTCGCTTGCCGTCAGATTCTGGTGCTCAGACCGTGTCCGAAAGAAATCTTCAAAATCCCGATGACCAAGCCATGAACCATGTCACGACAAGTCTACACGCACTGACAAACCAGCAATCGAGCGCCGCCGCCGCCCTTGCCTTTTCTCCTTCCAGTCCTACCGTCTTGTAGTTCCCCAATTTCCATTTCTCTCCTCCCCTCTCGTCTCTTCCTATCCACTCCCCACCACGCTTTCATCCTGGACTGTCTCTGGGCTGGACACAGCAATGGATTCAAGACACTTGGAACTGGACTGGATAAAACTTTCCAGAACAGTTATTTGGGCAGGAGCAACAAAAACTAAAACTACTGTATACAGTTCTGTATTGGGTTCCATCCTTCCCATTCCCTCCACCCACACCCTCCTCCCCGACCTCCCTCCCCTTCCAAGGCTCTCTTCTCCCGCTCTCCCAGATGCTGTGCTTGAAGCTGCCAGCAGACGCACCCATTCATGGTCCGTTCTTCCCACCTCCGACCCTAGCCAGCCACCCTGCGGAGGCACCAGCTCGTCACACCCTGAGCTCCATCTCACAATATTCTTTGATGTATTGGTTCGAATATCTGTATGAGCAAGGAACCCTAGAAGGGTCACGCTGCGGCATTAGTCCTCTTTTGTCAGAGACGCGTGTATGAAACCCTAAAAGTTATTTAACGGTCGTTCCTGTTGCGAATTTTGTGTTGTAGCGATGAAGTATCTGTCACTCGTTGGTGCTGCTACCAGCACCAATTGCCAGAATATGCGAGTGGAAATTTCTTATCTGCATAACTGTTGAGAGGATACTTGACAGCGTAATTGTTGTTAAGATCGCTATCTGTTTGGAACGACAATCAATACGGCCTAACTCTCGTACTACGCCTCTCGCGGTCCGTGTTATTTCTCTTCCTCGGATAACTCATTACCGATAGCAACCGCCAGAGCGCTTTGAATTGCGAATTCATCAGACCTGATTTGCCGTCGCGTGGCGATGGGTCCTCGCACGACGACCGGAGCGATGTGCGGATTAGGCGTTCGTATGAGCCCTAAGGCGACGATTTTCAACACGAGCGAGGCGGCGTGCGACGCGTACGACGCGGGCGACGACGCCGACGAGTGCACGTGGGCGTCGCTGCCGCCCGAGCTGCTGCGCGACGTGATCGCACGCGTGGAGGCGAGCGACAGCTCGTGGCCCGGCCGGCGCAGCGTCGTCGCGTGCGCGGGTGTTTGCCGCTCTTGGCGGGAGCTGACCCGGTATGTACTACCTTGTAGCCAATCGGGGCCTGGTGCGTTGGATTTTCAAGTTTCGAAGAGAAGGAAAAGAAGCAGCCGAGGTCGGGGAGAGCTGACTCGGTGCGCGTTGCGCCGTATCAGATGCATGTCGGAAGATGCGTCTCGGAGATGAGGGATCATAAAAGTTTACTAAATACGGCGTTTTCGGAATTTGCCGAGAACCAGCACTTTCGCGCATCCCCACTATCCCGCTTTCCCCACTTCCCCCCATCCCCTCTTTCCCGCTTCCCCACTTTCCCCCTTCCTCCCCTTCCGCGCATCCCGCCCTTCCCCGAATCCCACCTTCCGCCCATTTTTCCCCGCAGCGAGCTGCTCCAATCGCAGGGCTCGTACGAGTCGTATGGGCAAATAACCTTTCCCGACGAGTTAAGAACACCTGGGCCGCGCGACCGCTGCGTGGAGTGCTTTTTTCGCCTTCCCCCGTCTCCTCCCCCCCCCCCCAACCATCGCCTTCCCCCAACCCCCGGTTCCCCATCTTCCCCCGTGCCCCAGCGAGCTGCTCCAATCCCAGGGCTCGTACGAGTCGTCTGGGCAGATCACGTTTCCGGACGAGTTAAGAATGCCCGGGCCGCGCGACCGCTGCGTGGAGTGCTTCATTCGCCGCTCGCGCAAGACCGGCACGTTCACGCTGTTTCTGGGCGTGCCGCCGAATTCGACGGAAAACGGCAAGTTCCTGCTCGCGGCGCGCAAGTGTGGCTGGCGGCCGTCAAGGTAAGCGGACACGCGACTCGTTCACGTTCGTGAGGGGGGGCCGGGGCCGGGGGGGGGTGGGGGGGCAGAAAGGTGGGGTGGGGGGGGGGGGGGGAAGAGGGGAGGGGAGTGGTTGGGGGGGCGGGCCGTGGGGGGGGTTGGCCGTATGTTGCTGTTCTTATTTTTTTACCCTCAACTGGAGTACGTGTTTCTGATTGTTGCCTTATACTGCCCGTTTCACAAACCCGTGCTTGCGCTGGTTACCCTAGTGTACCCATTTCGATCCACTTTGCGAACCCGCTGTTTATGTCTCGCAAATTCAAGTCACAAATTCGTTCCGGTTAACCCATTTCTTTTGCTTCGCTTTAATTCACACAAACCGTGTTTGTGCCTTGCAACTTTAATCCAGCATGTAACACGTGTTTTCCTGTTCGTTGCCTGATCGTCTCGTTTCGCGAATCCGTGGTGCTGTCCACGTCAGCATGGAGTACGTGGTTTCGCTAGACCCAAAAGACTTTTCGCGCGGCGGAAGTTCGTTCGTCGGTCGCCTGCGAGCGAATTTCCTCAGCACGCGATTCGCCGTCTTTGAATCGTCGCACGAGGTGAGCGTTTTGAATATCCCTTTTTGTAACAGAGTAAGTTTCCGGCGGATCGTTCGAAGCTACCTTAGCGCACAAACACGCACAGGTGAGAAATTTGTCGCGAATCGCATGGGGAAAGATTGAGCACCCAGAAACGTAGTAACCAGACCTAGCTGAATTTGGGCTTTTTCTTCTCTCGTCATTCGCTCGTTTGCTCTGATTCACCCGTTCCGCCTCCATCATCCTCCCTTCCCCCCCTTTTCCCGTCCCCCGACCCCACCCCCCTTCCCCCCACGCGTTTCCGACCCTTCCTCCGCGCAGCCCGCTTTTTCTCTCGGCGCGGCGTCGCTGGCGCACGGCGGAAGCAGCAGCAGCAGCAGCCGCAAGGTGCATCCGCGCGGAGGCGCCCTCCCCGCCAACGGTTACCACCACCACTGCAGTCACTGTAGCATTCGGTGTGGTAACCACCGGTTACAACTGCGGCAGTAGCAGTGCGGGCAGCAGCGGGGCCGGCACCCCTGTCGCGTGTAACAGTAACATGGGCGGTTTCAACAGTTCCGGTTGTAGCGGGGCCAGTTGTAGCAGAGGCGGCTGTAGCAGGAGTAACGACGGGGTAGGGTTACTGGCCGCAGGTAGTACCAGCAGCAGTGGTTGTCGGGGTGATTGTAATTGTAACGGCGCGAGTGTCGCTGACACTGCCACGTCAGCAGCGGTTTCGCTTTCCCCGTCCCGCTCTGCTTCCCTCTCCGCCGCGCCTTCCGCCTCCGCCGCTCCGTCCCCCTCCGCCTCCGCGCGCGCCCTAACCGCCTGCCTTTCCCGCTCCGCCAACAACCTCGAAGGATTCCGCTCCCCGCGCCTTCCTTCCGCCTCCGCGCCCCCTTCCGCCGCGCCGTCCCCCTGCCCCGCCGTCTCCGACTTCGCCTCCCCCCAATTCAAACCCAGCTGCATCGGCAGCCCCTTTCCCGGAAGCTGCGCGCACACCGGCGGGGGGGGCGCGGGCGGGGGAAGCAGCGGGGGGATGGGCGGGGGAAGCGGCGGGGGGAGCGGGGGAAGCGGCGGGAGTAGCGGGCCGGTGGTGTCTGTAGCATATGCGCTGAACGTGCTGGGGGTGCGCGGACCTAGGCGCATTCTCTGTACCCTGCACCAGGTCCCCGCGGGAGCGGCGGTCACTGGGGGAGGAGGAAGCGGGGGAGGAGGCGCGGGGAGAGCCGCGGGGGGAAAGGCGGGGAGAGGAACGGGGGCGGAAGGGGGGGGGAAGGGGGGACGGGAGGTCGTTGGCAAGGGGGGCAAGTGGGGGGAGCGGGCGGGGATGGGGGGACGCATCAGTGGTAGCGGGGGCAGCGGGGGAGGCAGCGGGGGAGGGGGCCAGGCGGGCAGCTGCAGCGGCAGCTGATGTTGCTGGCACCGCCGCCGCTGCTTTAGGCTTAGATCCCGTTATAAGCACATCCGATATCGGCACGTTACGAAGCCCGCGTCCTGCTACCCTTCCTCCAGTTACAACCCCTGTTTCAACTCCTGTTAGAAGCTCCGTTTCAACTCCTCCCGTTACAGTTCCCCCTAGCACCCCTCCCTCTGCTACCCCTCCCCCTCCTACCCCTTCTCCCGCCACTGCCGCCGCTCTAGCCGCTGGTGCTGCTGCTGCTGCCGCCACCTCCCCCCTCCTCTCCTCCCTCTTCCATTCCAACCGCTATAGTCACACTCGCTACAGTAACCACCCGTCTGATCGCGATTTCAACAGTCCGGAGGATATAAAATCGGAGGAGCAAGCACCTGGCCAATCCCAGCCTGCCATGTGTACCTCCTCTTTCACCCCTTCCCCGCTTCCGCGCCCCTCCTGGCCCTCATCCCCCGCTTCTTCCCCCTCCGCCGCCCCTCCTGCCGGCGCAACCTCCGCCCCGCCCCACTTTTCCGCCCCTTCCGCCCTCCACTCCCCCGCTTCCCCCCCTGACGTGCTGATTGCCCCTACAGGCTCTTCCGCTTCCCCCTCCCCTTCCGCCTCCGCCTCCGCCGCTTCCCCCTGCCCCGCTTCCGCCTTCCCCCCTTGCCCCGCACTTCCCCCTTCAGCCCTGTCTTCCGCCTCCCCCGCCGCTCGTTCTTGTGCGTACAGGCTCAGTGGGGGGAAGGGGGAGAGTGGGGGGATTGTGAGTGAGTTTGAGTGGGGAGGGGGAGAGAGAGAGGAGGTGACTGTAGAAGAAGTGACTGAAGGGAGAGTGGGAAGGGAAGAGGGGACGGGAAAGGAGAGGAGGAATATCGAGACTGAGGAGGAGCGGGAGGAGAGAGAGGAGGGGGAGGAGAGAGGGGAGGAGGAGAGAGGGGAGGAGGGATTGCCGGTGGGACTGACAGAGAGTGGAGAGGGGGAGGGGGAGGCGAGAAGAAAGAAGGCGTGGCAGTAGAGGAAGCAAGGGAAGCGAGAGACGCGAGGACAAAAGTTGAGTGGACTCAAAATTCAGAAGGGGAAGCGAGGGAAGCGAGGGAAGCGAGTGAAGCGAGATCACCACCCATAATCAGCACAAGGGAGCCTTTGGTCTCGTTCCCGGAGAGTGGGGAAGGGATGAGCAGAGGAAACGGAGGGGTGGGGAGCGGTGGAAAGGAGAGTGATGAGCTGCAGAGCATCCGAGAGGAGGGTACGCAAGCAGAGGGCCATGGGGAGGGAAGCAGTCCCGAGGAGGATAGTCGAGAGGAGGATAGTCGAGAGGAGGATAGTCGAGAGGAGGATAGTCGAGAGGAGGATAGTCGAGAGGAGGATAGTCAAGAGGAGAGGAATCAGCAGGGTAGTAGTAGTCAGGATTGGGTGACACTGACAGGCAGTGAGTGGCGGCAGCAGGAGGGCCACGAGGGGTGGTTTCAAGGCGGTAGTTTCCAGGAAAGCAGCGCCCAAGACCTGCAAATCTCCCCCTTTCCCGCCTCCGCGGACCCCTTCCTCCCCCCTGCTGCTCTTGAGCTTCCCCCTGCCGCCCTGCCCCTGCCCACATTGGCAGCAGAAGCGGCAGCAACAGCAGAAGCATCAGCAGCAGCATTAGCACCAGCAGCAAGAGCAAGAGAAAGCGGGGCAGCGTGGTCGGAAGCAGCAGCAGCAAGAGCAGTGGCTTCACCAGAAGCAGCAGCAGCAGGTGCCAGGGCTGCTGCGGCTGTCACTCCTCCATTCGCCTCCTCCTCTCTCCCCTCGGGTCCTTTGACTCCCCCGATTGCCTCCTCCTCTCTCCTTGCTGCAGCAGGGACTCCCCCATTGGCTGCTCCTGCTGCTGCTCCTTCCCATTCTGCTGCTTCGTCCCCTTCTCCTGCTTCTGCTCCGTCCCCTGCTGCTGCGCCTCCTGCTTTCAACGCAGAGGCAAATGCAGAGGGTGATTTGGAGGGTGACTGTACGGAGTGTGACTGTGTGCGGTGCATCGGCCGAGCGCCTCTGGAGCCCATGGTGTTGCGGAACAAGCCCCCCAGATGGCACGAGCAGCTGCAGGTGAGGGGATACAAGGGAATATGGAGGAGTGCAAGGGAGTATAAGGGAATATAAGTGAGCATGAGGCACTATGAGTATGCGTATTGGGTGAGAACATGTGGGAAAATTTGCGGGAGTAATGGATATGCCCTCACAGGAGCTTACGGGAGATGGTACCAGGTTGAGCGCCTCTAGAGCCCATGGTGTTTGCTGAACAAGCCCCACTCCCCTGGCCGAGCGTTTCTAGAGCCCATTAGAATGCATTGGATTCCATTATATTCCATTTAGCTTGGCTTGTGCTCTCCCTTTTGAGTCGACTCAAAAGTCACCTCGTTGCTTGGCTTGTGCTCTCCCTCTCACCCTCCGATAGCCACGTGTAGCGAGGGTGTTTTTGAGACGTCTTAAAACACCCTCGCTTCGCTACATTTTGCTTGGCTTGTGCTCTCCCTTTCACCCTCCGATAGCTTTATGGCGGTTTATGACAATCCCTCATTCGCCGTTGAGTTTCAGGACGAACTGAGCTGCGATATTGCAGGCACAGCTCATGTTTTAATGACCTCAGCTTACTATCAGCCTGATGAGGAAGACTCATGGAACATGTGTTATGAGCACAAAGAAGTGCAACATGCTGAAGCAGAGATTGCCGAGTAGACTGGCTCATTGATTGAGATTGCGAAGGAGACTGGTTGATTGATTGAGATTGCTTAGGATATTGGCTTGCAGATGCAGCTCAATGAGTCATTGTCCTCTGCAACCTCAATCAATGAGTCAATCTCCTCTGCAATCTCAATCAATGAGCCATCTACTCTGCAATCTCTGTTTCAACATGTTGCACTTTTTGGTGCTCAAAAAACATGTTCGATGAGTTCTCCTCATCAGGAGAGTAGAAGCCAAGCTGAATGGAACCCAATGGAAAATACAACAGAATCAAATGGAATGCATTGGCCTGAGCGCTTTTATAGCCATTCCTTCCCCTCTCCTCCCCTCTCTTCTCTTCTCCCCTCCCCTCCCCTCCCCTCCCTCTCCCCTCCCCTCCCCTCCCCTCTCCTCCCCTGCCCACCCCTCCCATACCCTCCCCTCACCCGCTTCCAGTGCTGGTGCCTCAACTTCAGGGGCCGAGTGACGGTGGCGTCAGTGAAGAACTTCCAGCTGATCGAGGGGGGCGGGCCGGGCAACGACTCTGACAAGCCGGTGCTGCTGCAGTTTGGGAAGATTGGCAAGGACACATTCACCATGGATTACAGATACCCGCTCACTGCGTTCCAGGTGGGTACTGACTGATTTACTATGGCTGAGAGTTGGTGCTCGCAGAGGGGGGGCAGGCCGGGCAACGACTCGGACAAGCCGGTGTTCCTGCAGTTTGGGAAGATTGGCAAGGACACGTTTACCATGGACTACAGATACCCGCTCACGGCCTTCCAGGTGGGTGATTCTTGTGCTAGTGCTGGTATGTGTGGTGCTGTATGGTGCGTTGCCCTGCCGGTGCTGCTGCAGTTTGGGAAAATTGGATAGGATGCATTCACCATGGACTACAGATACCCACTTACTGCCTTCCAGGTGGGTAGTGCCTTTCAGGTGGGTAGTGAAGTGCCCTGCCAGTGAAGCACAAGTTTCCCATGGACTACAGATACCCACTTACTGCGTTCCACGTGCGTGCTTGTATTGGAATGAAGGCGTGTGCTTTCAGGTATTGCCTGGCTTGTGAGTTGATGCTGCTGCAGTTTGGCATGATTGGCTACAGACACCCAGTTTGACACGTTTGCCATGGACCACAGACACACACTTACAGCGTTCCAGGTGGGTGCTTTTTTTAAATGAAGGTGGGTGCTTTTCTTTGAATAAAAGGTGTGTGCTTTCAGGTATTGCCTGGCTTGTGAGTCGATGCTGCTGCAGTTTGGCATGATTGAATAAAGGTGTGTGCTTTATTTGACACGTTTGCCATGGACTACAGACACCCACTCACTGCGTTCCAGGTGGGTAGCATAGTGCCCACCTCCAGTTCAGGGTGTGCTTTCAGGTCTTGGTATGCAAGCCTTGTGCCATTGTGGCTTCATGAAGTTGCTTCATTGCTTCATAGCTCATCTCTACGGGTTGTTTTCTGGTTTGTGTGTGTCCCTACCTCGTGTGTGCTTTTCCTGTGTGTGTCTGTCTGTGTGCCCACGTCACGTGTGCAGGCGTTTGCCATCTGCCTCAGCAGCTTTGATACCAAAGTGGCGTGCGAGTGATTCCTTCATTATTCCGATCGGTACCTTCTCACGCGGATCATTAGTCTAGTAAAAAATCGGTGTGCTATCTAAACAGCAACAGACGGCTTCTCACGTTGCGTTTGAGATGGTGTGGTGCTGGTGCGTGAGTGAGGACTTTTTCACTAAGGAACAACCCAAGGGCAGCAATCCAAAAAGAGTGCATGATGATATATGGGAGACTGAAAGAAGACGTGTGCTTTGTTCTGCGGTAATACAGTGGGTAATGGTGGTGGTGTGATCTTTCTGCTGTGCGGCGCTATGCTGCGGATGGAAAGGTAAGTTTTCTCGGGAGAACCCAGATATTGTGTTACAGTATTTATTTCTGATTTGGGTTGGTTACTATGGTTTGGACAAAAGCGTTAAGGATGGATGGATGGTGATGATGACTGATTCAGGGATGTAGTTTACCCTGATGCCCTAGTTTGTTATTCCATCTACTCTTTGTATTGTAAAACGAAATCGTGGCTTATGTTTGTATCAGAGTATTTTTTGTGGCGGATATTGAGAGCTTTTACTCAAGCTCTATAGCCGCAGTGAATCTGCCCGTATCGGGTGCAGCCGGATTCCAAAGACTTGGACAATTGTCGGTTCAGCTAGTTCTACAACGGTTAATTTGATGATACCTAGGTTGTTTGGGACGGGTATCGGGATTCGGGACGCTGATTCGAGTCTGACCAAGAAATAAATGCGACGAGTACTGTGCTTCACGCTGAATCCCAACTTCTAGTACATTTCTACGAACTTCACTGGTAGAATCCAACTTTCCTCCGCTCCCGCTGAATCAATGGCCTCGTCAGCATCCGCGACGCCAGAGGCATGGCTGCAGAATCAGCTCCTATCGATGCGCGACGCGCTGCCGTTCCTGGATGCTGACATGGTGTCAGGCCTAGTCAGCTACTGCCCTAATGCCTCCGATGCTGACGTGGCAGAGTATCTTTCGAACATCGTCGGCGAATCGGATCAGTCCATGGCCGTGGTTTCCGGATATTTGGAACGAAGGCGTCAGATAAAGCAGGGCGGGGCGCCGTCTCAGCCGCCGCAAGAATCGGCGCAAAATCCGCCGCGAAAATCTCGAGGATCAGCAGCAGCAGCAGCAGCAGCAAGGGCAGGATTTCAGTCACACCATATACAGTCACGAGAACCCTAACATCGAGGTCTACGTGAAGCCCAAGTTCGACGAAGCTTCCGGATCTGTCCCCGCGCCCTCGCGCAGGACCGGCGCAGGGGGAGGGTTGGGGGAAGGGGGGAGCGCAGGGGGAGCGGAGGCTCCGGAAGGTGCGGCAGCGAGCGGTGCCGCTGGCGGAAAGGTCGGCGGAAGGACTGCTGGAGGGGTTGGCGGAGCGGCGGGGGGAAGCGCGGGCGGGGGAAAATCCGCGGGCGGAAGGAAGCGGAGGGGCGGGGTGGTGGTGGGGTTGGCGGACTTGGAGCAAGGGCGGGTGTTTAAGCAAGGCGCGCCGTGCGATTGCCAGGCCACGATCCATCACTTAGTTAACAACTGCTTAGGGTGTGGGAAGATTGTGTGCGAGCAGGAGGGCGAAGGGCCGTGTAAGTTCTGCGGCGTTCTGGTGCTTAGAGGGTCTGATAGTATGGGGGATGCGGCGCCGGGGGTGGGGATGGAGGGGGAATGGGAGGAATGGGAGGAGGTGGGGGAAGGAAGGCAAGGAGGGGGAGGAGGAGTGGGAGGGACAGCAGCAGGGGCGGCGGAGGGTTTAACAGAAGCTGAAGCTAAGGCTCTTGCTTTTAGGGATAGGCTAGTAGAGTATAATCGCACATCGGCCCAACGGACGGTTGTGATCGACGATCAGAGCGATTATTTTAAATCCAACGGTGCGGATGGGGACGGAGACGCTTGGCTGACGAATGAGGAGAGGGAGATTTTGAGGAGGAGAGAGGAGGAGAGGGAGAGGGAGAGGGAGGAGGAGGAGAGGAGGAGGAGGGTGGTTGTTACGCTTGATCTGATTGGTCGACGGGTTCTCGTGGCGGATACCCTTGGAGCTGACGTGGCAGGGGGTGCTGCTGACGTGGCAGGGCCTAAGGGAACCAAATCAGGGCAGGAAGGTTCTGAGAAGCAGGCAAAGGGTGCAGGTGGGGGGACGAGTGGGAGGCGAGGGGGAGGTAGAACTGGTGTAGGGAGTATTTTCCTGATGGAAGGAGCAAAAGTCAAGGACCAAGGAGACAAAGAGCAGATCCCTACAGTGAAGCAGGAAGTGATATCAGGGATAAAAGTGCTTATAAAGGGGGAAGGCGATGGGGGAGAGGGTGGTGTAGGAGGAGGTGGAACTGGAGGAGGAGGTTTGGCGGCGGGTGGTTCGGGCCGAACCCGGCTCATGCCAAGCCCGAACCTCCCAATTGCAGCGCCAGTATTTGTTAAACCGAGCAGTAATAGTAGTAGCAGTGGCGCTGCTGCTGCTGCTGCTGCTGGTGGCGCTGCTAATGGTGGTGGTGGTGGCGCTGCTGCTAGTGCTGGTGGTGGTGCTAGTGTAAACGAGGGTACTGGGCAGGGCAAGAAAGGGGGCAAGGGGAAGAAGGGGCAGCAGGAGCAGGAGAGTGACAGAAGGAGAGGTGCTTATAAGGAGGGCATGGCAAGGCTTCAGCATGATTCGCCACTGATGGAAGCGATGAGGGAGATAGAGGAGGAGGTGGGGGGGAGGAGTGGGTGGGGCGGGAGAGGAGAGAGAAAGATTGACAAGGATAGGGGTTCGAGAGGAGGTGGGATGGGGAGTCGAGGAATGGGGTATAGAGGAGTGATTGGGGGAGGGGCGGCAGGAGGAGGATTGGATTCCCGGGAGAATCGAGATAGGGACGGTCCGTGTGGCATCCCTGCTGACCTGGCAGGGCTTGCTGACCTGGCAGACGATGAAGCTGACGTGGACGGGAGGTTTGACATCTGTGTGCAGATGGATCAGCAGGGAGGGAGAGATGTGGGTGGAGGAGGGTTGCTGAGAGGAATTGGAGGAGTGGGAGGAGGGAGGGGGGTGGAAGCTGGGATAGATGGAGGGAGAGGGGGAGTGTTGCAGGATGGGGTGGTGCTTCTTAAAGGATGGCTCACGAGGGAGCAACAGGTAAGGGAGTGGTTTAAGTTTGCTTGTTTCTCTGGTTGAGTTTACTCTCCGAGAGGAGGGAGTGTTGCAGGATGGGGTGGTGCTGCTGAAGGGATGGCTCACAAGGGAGCAGCAGGTAAGGGGGTGATTTAAGTTAGCTTGCTTCTCTGCTTTGAGTTGACTCGAAACACTCCAAGAGGAGGGAGTGTTGGTGCTGCTCAAGGGAGCAACAGGCAATGCAGTGGCTAAATTTCAAGTCTCATTTATCCACGTGTCGTTCTTCTTTCGTTTCCTGCTGCCTGTCTTTATTTGTTCAACTCGTCATTCTTGTGAAGCTTTTCCTCTTGATTATACTGAACTTGCCTTGAGACTCTAAAACCTGGTGTAACCCTCTTTTTTTAGTGTACTTACCCTTCCTGCAGATTGAGATTGTGAAGGAGTGCCGTCGCCTTGGACTGGGGCCGGGAGGATTTTACCGCCCAAAACTTCTGAACGGCGGGCAAATGAGACTTCACATGATGTGTCTTGGGCAGCAGCACTGGGAGCCGAATCTCCGAACCTACCAGCCCCGCCGAACCTATGTAGACGATGCCAAACCTCCCCCTCTTCCCTCCTCCGTCTCTTCCCTTGCCATTCAAGTCGTGTCTGCTGCCCAAACTGCTGCCCGAGCCGCATCGGGCAGCAGCAACAAAAACATTCTCCCGGACATGACCCCCTCGGTCTGCATCGCAAACTTTTACTCTCCCCGGCGGGGAGCCCTCGGCATGCATCAGGACAAGGACGAGCCGCCCGCATCGATCCGCCGGGGGGCGCCAGTTGTCTCATTCTCCGTGGGGGATTCGGCGGATTTCCTATTCGGGTGGCAAAGAGACCCGGAGAAAGCAGCAAGGGTGGTGCTGGAATCAGGGGATGTGGTGGTGTTTGGGGGCCCGTCTCGGTTGATGTTTCACGGTGTTCCGTGTGTGCATGGCGACACGGCGCCTGATTGGTTGATTCAGGAAACCGGGCTGCGGCCGGGCAGGCTCAATCTTACAGTCAGGGAGCTGTAAATTCTTCTTTTTAGCGCAGTAAGTGACAGTTGCATGTTTGGAGGTGGTCCAGTTAAAATGGGGCCACATTGGCTAGTTATGAAACCCTAAAGTATTGTCCCAGCAGGTCCGATACGATAGGAATGAAACAACCGTACGATAAACATATGGTGCATGCACGAATCTCATTATTTATTGCGTCCACTGGTACAGCACCACCCTTGGAGGCTAACAGTGCAGGCTAGTCCCTCCCCCCCTTGCTCTGGTGCTCAGTACAGAACAAGTGCTACAGTCTGTAGCCCCATCTCAGCTACTGCTGTTGCTTCCACAGCTGTCAAGTTGACTGCCCTGCCCCCACAACAGCAGGCTAGACTGCTACAACTGCAGCACCGCTTATTGTGCGATTCCTACCACCGCCGCTACAGCCGCTGCAATTGCGCTACTCTCACAGCGTGACCGACCGCCACAGCTTCTCAGAATACTGCAGCAGCTATCACATCTACAGCTCCCACAGCTGCAACAACTGCTTCCCTGCTGTTACCCCTGCTCCAACCTTCCCAGTGCCTGCCAATCCCTGAATCAAAAGAGCATCCTTCACCATTTCCACGTTAGAATCGCATCTCTTGTATAGCGGGCTGCGGGCGATGTTGACATTGGGATTGCCGAGCACCCACCGAGCACCCACCCAGCTCCAATACAGCGGGCGTGAAACACACCCTTGCACGCCTCTCCAGCCCAGTTCATGGGCAATGAACGCTATACCGTACACCTCAAAACCCACCACCTGAAACAGCAATTACTGTACCATTTTCCGAATCTCCACATTCTTTAGACTCGAACCCAACCCCCCATGGCAGTCACACCGCCTGTCGCGCACCCGCCTGGTTCTCTCCCACTCCACGCGCCACGCGATGAGCTCCACCTCGGGATCGCCGAGCACCCAGCTCCAGTACAGCAGCGCGTGAAACACGTCCTTGCGCGCCAACGCCTTGGGCTTTCCGTTGCGCCCAAGCTCCTGCGCGCTTCCCGTGCGCGTGTTGCCCGTCGCGTTCAGCACCCCGCGCTCATCCACCCGCGTCACCAGCCAGTCCACGCCGCGCCGCCCGGCCTCCAGCAGACGCGATCTAATCTCCTCTGAATCTGAACCGTTTCGTATGTGCGGCGCGACGTAGAGATAGTACCGAGCCGCGTAGACCAACCCTATGCCTTGATAGCTGCAGTCGTAGCCTTGCCTCTCGTGGTTAAAACCTGCTGGATCCTGCATCTCTAGTCCGCTTCGGATGTATTCGGACGATTTCAGAATTAGGGTTTCGTTGTCCGTTAGAAGCCCAGCCAAGCCGAGAGCTGTGCCTGTTAAGTACCGCCTATGCGCGTGAACCGCGTCGTTTCTCCATCCGTTCTGCTCAATATTAGGTCGGACGAACCACGCCGCCATGGATGCGATGTGCTTCTCCGCTTTCCGCAGCCACCGCTGGAAGACAGGATGCGCCGCCCAACGCGAGGATTTTAGCAGCAGGGCTGCCCGCGCGGCGGACTCCATGAAAAAACCCGCGCTGTGGTACACGTCCGGGCAGTCGAAAGACCCATCTTCGCGCTGCTGATCAAAACCCCAGTCGTAGATTTTCATTCCGATTCGGGCGGCTTCGGAATTGTTGAACGCCAAACCCGCTTGAATAAACAGAAAGCCGTAATATTGTTCCTCAATATACCACTTCCCCAAGCCAGTCGCGTCGTATTTTTGGTTGTGTCGCGAATACGCCCCGTTCTCGTTCGCGTGGCCTTCCAAATCCGCAATACTGCGCACCGATCTGTGCTTATCTAGAGCCGTGCAGATCGCGAAAGCGTTATCCAGGCGAAAATCGCCAGGGCAATCGGTGTTCGCCGGCCATTCACCGTAGATTCGCTCATCAAGCCGAGTCAAAAAATCCCGACCGAGAAACTTTGCTGCGAGCGGCTGAGTGGCGAGCGAACCAACCCAAGATTTTTGCCCGCCAGTTTCCGAGCGAAACATCGTGTCGCGCGACGCGGCGACAGGAAGTTCCGCCAGGCGTCTTCGGACGAGAATTGAAGAGATTGCCGCCCGAGTAGACGGCGAACCGACGGAGTCCCAGACACCGTGCGCAATGAACCCGATCGCTCCGAAGAAATTCGCGCATAAAAATATCAGGATGGGGATTCGACGAGGCTGGACAGATAGAAAGCTGAGTGCTTTAGAAGCCTTCGTAGTGTAGAACAATAGTTTCTTATTGTAACGAGTCGGAGACTTGAGACTGGTCGGAGATTTCAGTTCATCAGGGAATTTGAGCGGCCTTGTTCGTTGACTGAAGTCACGGGGATCGGCGGATGCGGATGTTTCGTGCTCGGAACGACCATAACGTGGCGGCGCGCTCGTCGGACGAGCTGGCGACGCTTGTCTGGCGCTTGATCCTAGGAGAGCGAGGTAGGCGGCGCGAGATGATGGTTGTGGTCCGCCATTTGGAGACATAATGGCGAGCTACTCTTTTCACATCCGAAGAAACAAATCAGAGTAAGGAAATAGGTAGGGAGGGAACTGTCAGTGCTGCTCGAATAGTGACAGTTCTCTGTGGATGGCAGGTGGTTGAGAGAACTGGGTGAAGAGGAAGCGGTTGAGGGTGAACTCCGCCCGCAACGCACCGAGCGAGTGAAGCCCGCGAGGGTTGCGGGCTACGAATTCCCTGAGGAAAAAGGGGTACACTGCACCAAGGACCACCAAAGCGGATAGGCTTGATCCAAGCCGAATGCCCCTTTTTAAGCCCCGAACCAGAGCTGTTTCTGTGGTTCGGAGGATGCAGGTGGCTTGGAACAACCAAGCCACACAGCCGTCTGTTACCACAATCAACTGTCATGGCCAGTGCGGCGTGGTGTTGTGAACGCAGAAAACACCTGAGTCCTAACCTGACAGGGTAGGACTTCCTCTGACTCACCAGCACCAATCGTCCTGACTCACCAGTGCCGGCGGACTATACAGTTGATGCCCATTAGAGGAACCCCACCAGGGCTGTCGATTGGTTCCAGGCCAACACTTGAGAGTCTGAGGTGCCCGTATTTCAGCCCTGAAATCTCCGGGAAGTGTCCTTTTCCGAGCCTTTAAGCGTCCGGGAAAGCACCCAACCAAAAACTTAAATTCAGGGCTACACTACAACAATCAGGGCAAACTCTATACACCTAGCCCGCGCCAACTTCACTATGGCCAATTTCACCCCATGTGTAATTATTTTTGAATTACCCGATATTGAAGAGTTGTTCCGAATGCTTTCGTTTTAAAGAGGGTACGTTTCAGACGTCTCAGACGAGTTAGAGGGGACAAAAAACGGGTCGCAACAAAACTATGGTCGATTCGCTCCGTCATAAGCGCGGAATTTTTATTAATACCTCGACACTTGTCTGAGTTGTTGATAGCCTTCAAATTCGGGGAGTTCATCGGTCAAGCCAACATCGGGTACAGGGTGCTTTCTGAAACAAGTTGTAGCGCGTGAAATTGGCGAGGGCTATGTGTATAACGAAAACTAATAAAGGCAGAGTTAATTTAGAACTTCTATTACCTATCTACTTTCTCAACACTAATAACTAAGTGGCCGGCTTGCGGCACTTCTCGCCGTCGAAAATCTGGTAATCACTTGCCCAGTCCACGTCGTAATCTAGCATTTTCACGGTAGGATGGGATACCGTAAGATGGGATGGGATGGGATGGAAAGGGAAAAACGGGAAGGGAGAGGTTGGGGGGGGGGGGGGGGGGGGGGGGGGTAGAAAGGGCTGTGAAATTTTCCGGGTAAGACCGGAAACTTCCGCGGGGAATCAGGGAAACCCTCCAAGAGGCCCCTGTAAGAATCAGGGGAAGGCCCAGCCCACGCCCGTTATCATTCCGGGCTGTACAAAAAATCAACCCTGAGAATCTGGACTTTGGGGCAAAGTCAGACCTTAATGTTCAGGGCGTTAAGGACATATGCCCTTGAATCGACAGCCCTGAACCCCACCTTCGCCTTATCAATTGGCGGGGACTGAGCACAAGCGTTTCGCCTACCTCGCCCTGATTCGCCACTAGAGAAAATGGGACTGTAACGTTCACGTGGAAAACTACCATCTTCCGTTTTCAAAATATCTGACGAACGGATGGTTGACAGCGTGATAAGCAGCTCGATCGACGGCTACGATCTACTGATGTGACTGTACTGTTAAACTGTATTATGTTGGTAGGCTGTAGTGGGGTAGCCAATATGGGGTACAACCCCAACTAGGGTTTGCTACTTGTACCCAATTCTTCCATTCAATGCATTCATTCTTGCCTAGTTCTTCTGAAATGGTATTCAGAGCAGGAGGTCCCTACCGACCGACCGTTTTTTTTTTAAGGGCCCACCACCGCTCGCATGCGGTTACCACGCTACCCCGTGCCCTAGCCTCGTAGCGCCCTCGTGCGCCCTCGTTAGCGCCCTCGTGCGCCCTCGTTAGTGCCCTCGTGCGCCCTCGTTAGTGCCCTCGCGCGCCCTCGTTAGCGCCCTCGTGCGCCTCTCGTTAGCGCCCTCGCGCGCCCTCGCTAGCGCCCTCGCGCGCCCTTGTTAGCGCCCTCGTGCGCCTCTCGTTAGCGCCCTCGCGCGCCCCTCGCAGCGTCGCCCGCCCGCCGAGCCGCCCGCTCGCAGCGTCGCCCGCCCGCCCGCTGCCCGCTTCGCAGCGTCGCCCGCCCGCCGTGCTGCCCGCTCGCAGCGTCGCCCGCCCGCCTCGCTGCCCGCTTGCAGCGTCGCCCGCCCGCCCGCTGCCCGCTTCGCAGCCCGCCCGCCGCGCTGCCCGCTTGCAGCGTCGCCCGCCCGCCCGCTGCCCGCTTCGCAGCCCGCCCGCCGCGCTGCCCGCTCGCAGCGTCGCCCGCCCGCCCGCTGCCCGCTTGCAGCGTCGCCCGCCCGCCCGCTGCCCGCTTCGCAGCCCGCCCGCCGCGCTGCCCGCTCGCCGCGTCGCCCGCCCGCCCCGCTGCCCGCTTCGCAGCCCGCCCGCCGCACTTCCCGCCTGCAGCGCCGCCTGCCCGCCGCGCTGCCCGCTTCGTAGCCCGCCCCCCGCACTGCCCGCTCGCCGAGTCGCCCGCCCGCCGCGCTTCCCGCCGAGCTACCTACCTGCAGCGCTGCGGCAGCTTCCTTGCTCAGTCGCACTGTCACTATGGCTTCCATCCGCGTGCTGTCGTTCGATGCTGAGGGCCGCCCTGTGAAGTTCGCCACTTGGCTGGATGACCTGCAGCTGTTCCTTCTGAGCGATAGCAAGGAGCATGTGTCGCTCTATGATTACGCGTCTGGTGCTGCACCTGCCCCTCCTGCCACAGCTGAGCTTAGTGTTCGTTCCCACTGGCAGACTCGTGACGCAGCTGCTCGCCTAGCCATTCGCAGTCACCTCCCGCTAGCTGAGCTCGAGCATTTTGGCGACTGCAAATCCGCTAAGGCCCTGTACGATGCTGTCGTTGCTCGCTACTCCTCGCCTGCCACAGCCGAGCTTAGCCGCCTCATGCTGCCGTACCTGTTCCCTGATCTGTCCACCTTTGCTACAGTCGCCGATCTTATCACCCACCTTCGCACTAGTGATGCTCGCCTGCGTGCTGCCCTTCCCACCGAGTTCTGCGCTAAGAACCCCCCTCCACTGTACTGGACACTCCACTTCATAGTCACCCGACTCCCTGACACCCTCAGCTCAGTTCGAGACCACTTCCTTGCTCGCTGTCCCACTGAGCTCACAGTCGCCCTCCTAGAGGAGCAGCTGCTAGCGGCCGAAAAGAGCATTGTAGCTGTCGGTGCTGCTCGTGGCGCTCCTCGCACCCCCATCTTTGAGGGGTGTTCTCCCTCTCCCCTCGCTCCCTCCTACGCTACTGCTGCTGCTGTTGACTTCCTTGGTGCTGAGTCTGCTGGCGCTGCTTCTGCTCCTGGTGGGAGGCGCCGCACCGGCAAGGGCAAGGGGGGCAAGGGTGGCGGGGGTGGCGCTGGGGGGGGAGGAGGTGGGGGAGGTGGGGGGGGAGGCGGTGCTGGAGGGAGCGGTGGCGGGAGTGCTGGTGGGAGTGGGGTCGGCAGCGGAGGCGGGGGCGGCGGAGGGAGCGGTGGCGGTGGTGGCGGCGGCGGCGGTGGCGGCGGCGGCGGCGGTGGCGGCGGCGGCGGTGGCGGTCGGAGCGGAGGTAGTGGTGGTGGCGGAGGTCGGAGTGGAGGCACTGGCTCGGGCCAGAGCTCCCAGCAGCAGCAGCGTCCCCAGACGACCCAGCAGCTTCGTGAGTGGCTTGCTCAGCGTGGGACGTCGGGGGGCAATGGCCGCTGTTCCTATGTCATTCGCACAGGTGACCGCAAGGGACAGACGTGTGGGAGGTTCCACACCCCGTACCGCTGCTTCTCCCGCCTTGACGACGCTTGGCGTGAGGAGATGGGCGAGGATGTTGAGCGCCCCCGCTGGGCTGAGCTCATGAGGGCTGGTGTTGATATCTTTGCTCTTGACTATGATGCTATTATTGCTGCCATGTATGCATTGACTGTTAGTGCCGAGGGAGACTGTTACTTGTGTGTGCCG